CTGTTGAAAAAACTTAAGTAACAATTAACCAATTGATTCATTATTTTTAAAACCGTTTTGGAATAGTTTATTAATGAAAATAGGTCCTCCACATTGTTGAATTTGAATATAGGTGGATCACATCTTTGTAGAAAATTCAAAATCATGCAAGTCTATGTGTACAGTGCTAGAGTGCCATTCGCTAAAATTAAGGTTAAAAATAAATTATTTTTTTCAGAAGTTAAGTAATTTAAAGTAATAAAATTAATATATACAAGCATCACTATGGAATTAATTCTGCCCAAATTCTTTACAACCTATAAGATGTGATTAGTGATGGGTATCTGTAGAATTTTTTGTAATTATTTAATTCAAAATTGATTTAATTTTGTAAATTTTTTATAATTGAAAAACTGTTCAGATCAAAAACAATTTTTTTTACTTTATTATCTTTAGAAATTAAATTTTTAATTGACTTTATTAATAGAAAGACACAATACCTAATATAAATTAATATATACCATATACTGTATAAATTAAATTAATTTGTTTAATTTAATACATATATACTACTCAAATTCTATAATTTTTAAAATTTTATAAAAATGGTGTCAAAATTTAGAAAGGCTAAAGTTTATTACCTTAAAAATTATTAGTAACAATATCAAATTGAAAACCGAATCTACACCATATTATTTAAAAAATATATTAAAAAAATTTCATTTATATTTCACTTATCAGAAACAATCAAATTCTAATTAACTTCAGACTTCCGCCTACTTTTTAATTTTATTTTAAAGAAATGTAAAATAAATCTTAACTACAAGTGAAGTAAAAGGGAACCTTAATAAAGAGAAGGTAAAATTAATGGAAATTGCAGAATCAATTAGAATAATTGAATACAACTTAAAAAAATTAAAACTTATTCAAGTAAGAGCGGCTGCAGTTAGAAAATCTTTAGGAAAAAGAAATGAATATGTTTTAGGAGAATCTCAAAAATACAATCGTGGAATGCCAATAGGATTTGAATTTAATATTTATCCACAATTATTGTGTTTATCAAAAATATTAAATACAATACAAGATTATCAAACTCTTGTAAAAGGGTTAATAAAAATTGATAGCTTATTAACTATCATGAAAAACAAACAAGAATTTCATCATATGATAAATAAACTTAAATTTAATTAAAACGTTTTAAGAAAAAAAAAAACTCTTCCCGACGATCCCTTGTACCAAAATCACAACAAACTTTTTTTTCAAAAAAACAGTAAACTATGGTAGAAAAGAAGGAAATA